TAGAGAGTACTGAAAGTAAAATATACATACCAGGTCAAATACGCCAACCTTGGAGCACGGGTAAATAGTTCTGGAACTTGTTTCTCAAAACTCCCAGAAATGAAGCTGGCACAAGTTCATACTCCTAATCCAAATTGGAAAATGAAAAATATTCCTAATATTCATTATTCTTTTTTATTATTATTATTAAAAAGATCTCATTATTCTTTTTTATTATTATTATTAAAAAGATTCTAAAAAATGACGGATAGCGGGAATTGAACCCGCATCTTCTCCTTGGCAAAGAGAAATTTTACCATTCGACCATATCCACAATTTTTTGTAATTGACACATGCACAGAATATGTACACACATATATGATATATACCCGGATCCTATTTGTGCAATACCGGACTAAAGATTCTATTCAGGACGATGCCAATTTATTTTTTCATTCAAGAAGTTTGAGCCCCTTTTTTTTTTTTTTTTTTTTTTTTGGTTTTCTTGATTTGGGATTTTTTTGAGGGAGACTTAGATGAATATGAATTTTGAATGTGTCTCACAACCGAGAAAAATTCGGGGGGTCTTTTGAGTTTGGGACGAATAGGGTAAAGAGATGAGAGAATTAAGTATACCCACCAGAAAGACTAATTCAATCCATAATTATGTACCGGAAAATACAACATTTTTGTTACTTGACCAGCCCTCAGGAGAAGTAAATACAACGGGTACACTAATCAATAAGATTGATGAAGTAGCAATTAATGCAAAAACAACCAATTGGAAAGCAAAAGTCATGCTTTTAATCCTCCAAGCTACCAACAAATGAACTATACATTTGATCCCCCTATCTGCCAAAAAATTGAATATTAATATGTAATATAAAAGATATCATCGAGGAATTTTACTTTATAACAATAACATAACGAATCCATGAATTCTATATGACATGACTTGTTACTCCCCCTTTCGGGTCGGGGGAAATGGAATTTTTTATTTCAAAAATAGGCAGGCTAGATCATCTATCCATATACAGTATAGATAGATCAACCGGGAGATTCCGCGATCTTTCTACAGATAGTGGGTGGGGGTATCTACCCCTAATGGCCATGTTCTATTCGGAGGAATAAAATAAAAATGATCTTTCGGAGAGATGGCTGAGTGGTTGATAGCCCCGGTCTTGAAAACCGGTATAGTTTTGAACAAACTATCGAGGGTTCGAATCCCTCTCTCTCATTTTTCTGCTCATTGAATAGACTTGTTTCTTTATGGGTTTTGCCCGAACTAGTATCCAATCTCTTTTTTCTGGCTTGGCTAGGTGGGATAGTCGAGCCAGAAAAAAAAAAAGAAAAAAGATTGGATATAAATCCAATAAAATGAGTTGAAATGAAAAAAAAAAAAAAAAAAAAAGGAATTAAGCCGATTCTAATACCAAAATGGGGTATAAAGTACATTGAAAGTATAAAAAGTTAAAAACTTATAATAAATACATAGGTGGTGCAAATAGCCTAATGGGTGATCAAAATGCTATTTGCACGGTTTAAATAATAATTAATTAATTCAAATTTTAATTCATTAAAATTAAAAAAAAAAAAAAGAAATCTCGTCTTCTCCGGTGCCTTCTCACCGGAGAAGGCAATTGGGCTGCCTTCTCCGGTGAGAAGGCACCCCAGTGGGTTGCCTGGGTTGCCTTCTCCAGTGAGAAGGCGACCTCTGGGTTGCCTTCTCCAGTGAGAAGGCATGTCCATCGCCTTCTCACCGAAGAAGGCGATGGTTTTTTTTTTAACAACCCACTGGGCTGCCTTCTCACTCGAGAAGGCAACCCATTGGCGTGCCTTCTCACCGGAGAAGGCGAGGGGTTTATCCTTTTTAAAAAAAAAAAAAAAACAAATTAATAATTTAATTGTAAAAAAAAATAAAAAATAATATATATATATATATATATATATATATATATATATATATATATATATATATATATATATATATATAAATATTAGTCTTTGACCACATTAAATGATGTTGGTGCAAATAGCATTTTTTAATTAGCACCACCTATAAAGTGGTTTGACCTATTATATAATTGGTGCAAATAGTAAAATAGGTGGTGTGAATAGAATTTTCCTCCCGTAAACATTATATTTTACAGTACTTTTAGTACCACCCCTTTCATTAATATCACTCCCAAGCACAAACTTTGTTATTTTTGGGCACAAACAAAAATGGGAAAGGTTGTAGTTCTTATTCATTTTTCATTCTTCCTTCAATAAAGGAGAGTAGAAAGTAAGTTTAGAGCTTCTTTTTTTTTTTTTTTTTTTTTTTTTTTTTGAAAACAATTTAGAGCATTCATAACAGTAAATTTGAAATGGTAGCAGTTATACCAAGATTTGTATACATTTTAGACATAAATTAATAGAGAATAAAGCAGAAGCAGATTTAATGGACGAGAAGCAGACTGAACAGATGAAGGAAGAAGCTAGATAGCGTAATGGCTCAAGGGTGTTATGGTCTTTCCATTGTAACTATCATTAGCGCCACCTTTCTTCTATATATTTTGATTGTATTTTTCTCCTCAAAATAATGAGAAAATATCTTAGCTTCCAATGAACGCTCTCTGTTATTTCGATCTTTAATCTTGCATCGTCGGCTTCCAACATGGTATCAGAGCCGCGGCGAGGTAGTTACGCCGCCGCCGTCTCCGATTCCGGCGAATCTAGAAAAAGAACTCACCTGACGTCTCCGATCAACCGATCACCTGTGCGTCCATCACCGATGACCAATCCGCAGAGGATTAGTGCTCCGCAGAGGAGCAACAACGCAGAAGACCTAGATGTCAATATTACTCCTGAGCAACTCCAGAAGTTGATTTCAATGTTGCAGAATCAGATGGGACATAGTCAGACTCCCTCCACAATTCCCAACTTTGATGAAGCAGGATCCCAAGGTGAAGGCAAGTACTCCACGATTACTCATATAAACTCAGTTTCTTTACATCCTTCTACTTGGATCTTAGATTCTGGGGCTAGTGACCATATACCTTGTTCACTGGATTTGTTTGATGAATATCATAAGGTTGAGGGAATTGTGGTGAATTTACCGAATGGGAAACATATTAGAGTTGAACATATGGGGAACATAAACTTTGGAGATGACATATGCTTGAAGAATGTGTTACACATTCCCTCTTTTAAATTCAACATTATATCAGTGAGCAAGTTGCTCAATAACTCACCTTATATTCTAACTTTCACCAATGATCAGTGCCTTCTTCGGGGGAATCTTGGGAAGACAATTGATTTTGCTAGACAGGAGAATGGTTTGTATCTACTGCTTGAACCACCACAAATTTCTGTTAATTCTGCAATGTCATATAGTGCTAAAACTTGGCACCAAAGGCTTGGACATTTCCCTATGAATAAATTGAGCCTTCTAAGTGATATATCTGTTTCCCACAACAAGAATCTAGCCTGTGATGCTTGTCACTTTGCAAAGCACAAAAGATCCCCCTTCCCTCTAAGCAACACAATATCAGAAGTTTGTTTTGAATTAATACATGTTGATATTTGGGGTCCATTTTTGGTTCAATCTCTGGGAGGGGAACGCTATTTTTTAACTATAGTGGATGATCACTCAAGGTATACTTGGATCCATCTAATGAAACAAAAGTCTGAAACTCAATCCTTGATCAAGAACTTTCACAGATTTGTTCACACTCAGTTTGGATTACCTATCAAGACCATACGCAGTGATAATGGTTTGGAATTTAACATGGTGGATTTCTTTGCTGACAATGGTATAATTCATCAAAGGTCTTGTGTGAACACGCCACAACAAAACGCAGTAGTGGAACGTAAACACCAACACGTTTTGAATGTAGCCAGAGCCTTACGTTTCCAAGCTAATCTCCCACTGGTTTTCTGGGGGCAGTGTGTGTTGCATGCAGCCTTCCTTATCAACCGGCTTCCATCACCGGTTATTGAGTGGTCAAGTCCTTATCAAAAATTATATGGGAAGACACCGGACATCAGCAACTTGAAGGTATTTGGATGTCTATGTTATGCCTCTACTCTGCCTCATTCACGCCACAAAATGGCATCCCGCAGCAGAAAATGCATCTTTGTTGGTGTTCCAGCAGACATTAAGGGCTATTTGCTATATGATATTCAGGATAACTCCACTTTTGTCTCACGGGATGTGACATTTTATGAGGAACAATTTCCTTATGCTAAAGGAGACAATCATGCAGCCGAATCTAATCCTAGCCCATCTCTGCCTATTATCCCCATTACTAATTGCGAAGAGTTTAACTTTCAGGCACAGACTGGTGATCAGCTCCAAACTTTGAATGAGCATGTTGATGATGGCATTCCATCCCAGGTGGCTGTTGATGTTAGAAGTCCTCCAGCTGTTACTCCAACAAACATAATTGGCAGTCCTTCTATGCCAAACTCTGAGCACAATGAAACAGAAAGCGCGGCTGTAGACAATATGAGCATATCTTGTTCAGATCCTCCTGTGCAGCCTCGGAGATCGACCAGAGAACGCCAAATACCAAGCAAACTACAAGACTATTATTGTGACATTGCTGTTACAAACAGAAGATCGCCCCACTCTCTATCGAAGGTAATCTCGTATGATGTTCTTGAGCCCATGCATAGAGTTTTTTCTACTGCAGTCACCAACATCAGCGAACCAAGAAACTATAGCCAGGCCATAAAACATGAATGCTGGAAAAAGGAAATGGAAGCAGAAATTGACGCTCTTCAGAAGAATCAAACATGGGAGTTAACTCAACTCCCTCCCGGGAAAATCCCCATAGGTTGTAAATGGGTATATAAAGTGAAGCTCAAGGCTGATGGTAGTGTGGAAAGATGCAAAGCAAGGCTCGTGGCGAAAGGCTACACCCAGCAGGCAGCAGCTAGGCATAGACTACCTTGAGACGTTTTCTCCGGTAGCAAGGATAACTACTATTCGTACTTTTCTTGCAGTAGCCGTTTCTAGAGCTTGGCACATCCACCAAATGGATATAAACAATGCTTTTCTACATGGAGATCTAAACGAAGAAGTGTATATGGTGTTACCCCCCGGATTTCAAAGTGAAAAGCCTAACCAAGTCTGCAGATTGCTACGCTCTTTATATGGCCTTAAACAGGCAAGCAGACAATGGAATGCAAAGTTAAGTACGACATTGGTTCATAACGGTTTTAAGCAGTCAAGGCATGATTCTTCCTTGTTCACAAAAGGAACTGGTGCGAACTTTATTGCTTTACTTGTGTACGTTGATGACATACTCGTGGCCTGTGCTAACATGGAACCAATTCAACAACTAAAGCTATTTCTAGACAGCACTTTCAAAATAAAGGATTTGGGATCATTGGGATACTTTCTGGGAATTGAAGCTAAGGCAAAAGCAGATGGCTTGAACATCTGCCAACGCAAATATGCATTAGACATACTAAAAGAAGCCGGATTCCTTGGTTGTAAGCCCGCTAACACACCAATGGTGCACGGTCTAAAGCTGAGTCAAGGTGATGGTGTACCTCTTGATGATGTCGGCTGCTATAGAAGATTGATAGGGAGATTATTGTATCTCACGGCCACGAGGCCTGATATCACTTTTGCCGTTCAACAACTCAGTCAGTTCATTGATGCCCCCACAGACAAACACTTATCTGCTGCTCACCGTGTGCTAAGATATATCAAAAAATCTCCTGGCCATGGGATCTTTTATCCTGCCAACATGGATATGCAGCTCAAGGTCTTTTCTGATTTAGATTGGGCTGCCTGCTTTGAAACACGAAGGTCCATTACTGGTTACTGCATATTCCTAGGTCCTGCACTGATTTCATGGCGATCCAAGAAGCATGTTACTGTATCTCGGTCATCCTCCGAGGCCGAATACCGTGCGTTGGCTGCTACTGTATGTGAGGTTCAGTGGCTCACCTATATACTCCATGACTTGCAGGTTGAGCTAAACAGGCCAGCAACAGTCTTCTGCGACAACAAATCGGCAATTGCCATCGCCGAAAATCACGTCTTCCATGAGCGCACCAAACATATTGACATTGATTGTCATATCGTTCGAGAAAAACAGAGTCAAGGTTTGATTAAGCTCTTGTCTGTCTCATCATCCAACCAGACTGCCGATGGATTCACAAAGCCTCTGCCGGTAGCCCAGTTTCAATACTTTACCTCTAAGCTAGGCATACAAGACCTGCATGCACCAGCTTACGGGGGGGGGGGGGGGGGGGGTAATAGAGAATAAAGCAGAAGCAGATTTAATGGACGAGAAGCAGACTTAACAGATGAAGGAAGAAGCTAGATAGCGTAATGGCTCAAGGGTGTTATGGTCTTTCCATTGTAACTATCATTAGCGCCACCTTTCTTCTATATATTTTGATTGTATTTTTCTCCTCAAAATAATGAGAAAATATCTTAGCTTCCAATGAACGCTCTCTATTATTTCGATCTTTAATCTTGCATCGTCGGCTTCCAACATAAATTTTATGGGTAATCTAGATTAGCTTGATTTATTTCCTTGTAGAATTGTGGTCCGATCCTTTGCTGATTATGGTCATAAATTTCATAATACCGTGAACTTTGGCATAGTGATTGGAAACTTTTTCATAAATTAAAGATGTACGTAAATCTAAAATTAGGTTGATCCTATCTGAGACATTTACATTAGAGTGTAAATTAATTAGGTAGTCTTATATATGCAATGGATCCTTTTAATAAAGTAAAGATATGATATATATAACCAAGTGCCCAAGTGGCATGCATGCATGCAATATATGCAGATGGACTTGACTCATTCCTCGTCCCATGTATATCCCGCTCTACACGTACGTACTCTTCTAACTACTATATAAACAAATTAAATCAACCATATATATGTATGTACTGCTGCTTTCATTAATCCCGGCTGGCCACATTTTTCACTTTTTGTTGTCTTCTTCGATCCATAGATCTTCATCATCATCACTTCTTGTTATATATATTAGTTGTTCAATTACGTATAGTTATTAGCAGGGAATTAATAAAAATGAGCAGTGAAGGAGAAGCGGTTCCGAAGCTGAACCAGAGAATCCTTTCTTCTCTGTCCAAGAGGTCCGTTGCTGCCCATCCCTGGCATGATCTTGAAATAGGTACGCTTCAAATTAAACTCCATATAATAGTAATAGTAATAATAATAATATTGTGTTGATTAATTAACGATTTGCTTGAATTGCTTTTAATTTGTTCCCATATATGCATGCATGCAGGATCTGAGGCTCCAAACATTGTCAACGTAGTAAGCTCTACATACCATACACCCATGCACCATATATATATATATATATATATATATATATATATATATTCTTCTGATCTGCCAATTGGATATATAATACCATACATACAGAATTAAGCATGCAATGCCCGCATGGGCGGGCAGCAACAGTGTGGGGATTATGTTAAAGTGGACAGATCACTTGTATGCAGTGATTTATATAATCTCAAATACTTTGTCTGGCTGGGATGTGAGGGCTACCGGGGGTTATGGATTCAACCTTTTGGGAGAAAAATTAAGCATGCAGCTATAGTTTGGATGGGTTCATTTAATTTATTTTAATTTGTTGGATTATTGTTATGGTTTACGTTACAGGTGATTGAGATAACAAAGGGGAGCAAAGTCAAATACGAACTTGACAAGAAAACCGGCCTCATTATGGTATCTTAGCTACCTACAATCTCTCATCTCATCTCGATCTGTATTGGGACGAATATAATAATATAATTAACACACACACACACACACACATATATATATATATACATATGGATTCTTGTATATATTCATTATTAATCCTGGCCTGCAGGTGGATCGTATCCTGTATTCATCCGTGGTTTATCCTCACAACTATGGCTTCATTCCAAGAACTCTATGTGAAGACAATGACCCCATGGATGTACTAGTCCTAATGCAGGTACCTACGTAATTCAATCAAATTAAATTTCAACATTCATTATATTATATATAAACCTCTTTAATTTAATTTGTTAATTAAACAAATAAAACTTTGCATATATATAATGTGACTCAGCTCATTAATTAGCTGAGTTTGTGACCTTTTTAACATGTTGCAGCAATAGTATTTGACATTGAATTATTTGTAATAGGAACCTGTTATTCCTGGTTGTTTTCTCCGAGCAAGGGCCATAGGACTCATGCCTATGATTGATCAGGTTCAATTCTTCTCGTGCCCATAAATATGAACTCTTAATTATTGGTTGAGATAGAACACATTTTTTTTTAATTTGTAATTTTGTATAATAGGGTGAGAAGGATGATAAAATCATAGCGGTTTGTGCTGATGATCCTGAGTATCGGCATTACACTGATATCAGCCAACTCCCTCCTCATCGTTTGGCAGAAATTCGTCGATTCTTTGAAGATTGTATCCTGTTCTTTATGATCTTATTTTTCTTCCATTTTTCAAAATGCATATTAAAATACCATCGACTAAACTAAGACACGGTCATATCTATATATGTTACCAATCTAATAAGTCAAATTGATATGATAATCTTTAAAAATTTCTTGACAAAGGTGTTTAGACAAGAAAAATGAGAACAAGATGGTGGCGGTTAACGAGTTTCTTCCACCGGACACTGCTGTGAAAGCGATTCAGTATTCCATGTAAGATAGATAAATAAATAGATGAGATGAGCATTTCATGATTTTGGAATATTATATTTTAATTGAGTCAAATGCTTCATTTTGTTATTGTTTTGTGACGAATTGAATTGAATTGAATTTGCAGGGACCTTTATGCCGAGTACATTTTGCAGACTTTAAGCAAGTAATTTGGTTACTCAAAGGTGAATCGGAAATGTTGGCTTTCCTCACAACAAAAATATTTTCAATATTTTTTTGGTCAATTTTGTTTTTTTTTTTTCAAATTATTTATTTACGTCATAAATGAATGTTGTATTTTCAACCGGTATTTTGTTTGATAATTTCAGCAATATACCTTATCAACACCAAAAACGCAGCAATGCAAGTCTCATTGTAGTTTTTAATTTCCTTGAGTTGTCAAAGTGTGAAAAGCTTTATATTTTTGTCTACAGTATGTGTTAAAAAGTTCTCATTTCAAGTCAATTTTCCTTCACATCCATATTCTTATTTATGCATACCTAATGGTGTATTTACAATATTATGTGGTGTGTAACTACACAACCGTGCGAGAAGCACTATCCGACGGCAACCTAACCACACACACATATATATATATACAAATGCGGCGACACCACCAAACTTGAAGGACCTTAGATGACATTGACTCGAATAAGAGTTATGCAAACATTGGAATTGAAATTCCCAGTAATTCTATTCCTGTAAACCAAACACTGGAATGTAAATTTACACTTTATTCCCAGTAATTCATCTTCCATGGAATTGCAATTCCTTTCCCACGTAATTCCCCATCTCCAACCAAACGCCCTCAATCCCCCATGGTCTTTCGAGTTTTGAATTTTGATTTGCTGTAGTCTTTCTGTTATCATCTGTTGTCTGCGTCGTGAAAAGTAAAGAGTCTTTTTATGTCCAGCTCAGCCAAAACAATTTATTTCCCTCACGAATTAGCACTAATGTATGAAGATTAGGGCTAATTCTTGAGGAAAATCAATTATTTTGACTGTGCTGAACATAAAAATACTCTTTTGTCTTTACTTTTCACGACGCAGACGGCAAATGTTCTCAGAAATTGAGCAACAGAAATACACAAATAAATCTAATTTTTAATCAAACAAAACCAAAGAGCAGCGCAGCGAGCAAATCATCATCCTCTTCAAAAGCCGCGCGCATATATAATAATAATTAATGTAGGACAGTCGGAGGCGCAGGTGAGCGGAAGGGACGGCGGCGGCGGGTTGATGCGAACGGAAGGAGAAAAAAAGGCAGAGGATGAGGAGGCGCCTCAAGATCAGCTCGCTCAACAAGCATGTGCTCAACCACGCCCACCAGCACCGCCGTGAACTCCTGCAACACTTCCGCCAATATCCCCAACACAAACATTATATTATATTCTTCTTCAATTCCGGCCTCAACCTGCGATAATATATATGTTTGTTTCTCTGTCTCTCTCCGTATAAGCTTATTAGCTTTATCCCTTATTATATAACATTTTAATTTTAATTAGCGGAAACTAACGTTCGGAAACCTGCCTGCAAACAGGGGCCGACCCAGAAAATTTGTCCACCAAACATTAAGACAAAAGAAATAATTTTAAAAAAATAATTAAAACACTTAGAAAGTATAATTATAAATATTGTTGGATATAGCAAAAAATAAATAAACTAGACAATACTTTGTTTACTTTTATCTCTTTTATTTACTTGTACTAATACATACATACATATAAAGGCTATATAGGAGTGGGGTGGGGGAGTGGGGGCAGCTGTCCCCATTGTAGGTCCGCCTCTGCCCGTAAACAACAAATGAATTAAATGAAAGATTATCTATCTAATTATTAACATGCAAGCCCCTGGCTGCAAACAACAAATGAATTAAATGAATGATTATCTATCTAATTATTAACATGCAATATAATGTGAAAAGAATGGCATCCAAAATATCTACGAACTTATCATGAAAGGTTATGTTTCAATCGTTATACCCTACACCACGGCGCGCGTAGCACTGTGCGCCGCGCGCCTCCCAAAACGACGTCGTTTTGAGAGGCGCGGTAGGAAGTTACTGTGATTATGTATATTTGTTCATACAATTATGTATATTTTTTCATACAATTATGTACATTTTTTATACAATTATGTACATTCTTTTTATACAATTATGTACATTCTTTTTATACAATTATGTACATCCGAATCAAGAAATTTTTGTGTATTATGTTAAGAGTTGATGTGTATTATGTTAAAAGTTAATGTTTATTATGTATTATATTAGATTATGTGTATTATCTTTTAAAAAACAGTATGTATATTTTGGTATACAATTATGTACATTCATGTATACAATTATGTACATTCATGTATAACATTATGTACATTTTTGAACATGGATTTTTTTTAAAGAAAAATTAACTGCCAAACACTGGGGCGGGAAATTTCATTAAAAAAAAAAAAAAAAAAAAAAAAGTTGAAACGACGTCATCCGGACGCACAATGCAACGCGCGCCATGGTGTAGGATATAAATTGCCGTTATGTTTATCCTATCCGACCCTCACAATGGCTTCATTCCGACAACTTTAATTATGTGACCCAATTAAGACGACAATGACCCGATGGATATACTTAGGGTGTGTTTTGTTCACACATAAGAATTGGAATCAGAATTAGAATGGGTATCAAATTAAATACTAACAGGGCGTTTGGTTGGAGGGGGGAATTATGTGGGAAAGGAATTGTAATTCCATGGGAGTTGAATTACTGGGAATAAAGTGGGAATTTAAATTCCAGTGTTTGATTGACAGGAATAGAATTACTGGGAATTTCAATTACAATGTTTGGTATACATGGGAATTGAAAGGGAATAAGTAGTATAAAGTCAAAAATGTCCATTATTGTTGTTAGACATTAATTTTAGGTTAAAAAATGAAGGGGTAATTTTGACTCATCACTATCTTTTTTTCCCAGGAATTAAAATCCCAGGGGGGGACATGGGATTTTAATTCCATGAAAATGGGGGAATTGCAATTCCATGGAATTGCAATTCCCTCCAACCAAACTACGGAATTTAATGGCCTTTGGAATTAAGTGGGAATTAAGTGGGAATGGAATTTAAAATCCCTCCAACCAAACGCCCTGTAATGGTAATGGATTTTGGTGAAAGTATTTAATATGTTTGGTAGTAGGCAGGGCTGGTTTTTAGATTTTTGTAGCCCTGTTCTGGTAAATAAATGAGGCCCTACCAAAATTAGAATCTTTAAAATTAATATCGTATTTTTTTTTTCTAATAATAAGGTGGTAAAATGTTGATATGCGCAAAAAAAAAAAAACAAAAAAAAAAAAACAAAAAACAAAAAACAAAAAGCATGTTACGGAATAAAGTACCAAAAAAAAAAAAAATGTTCAAAGTTGGAGCAACACTCAAGTTTCGAAGCTCTAACCTCCAAGTTAAAATCTAATAAGCATATGTTTCTACCATTCCAACATGAAACCTTTTAAGTTTAATTGAAAACTTTTAGTTTTTATTTCTAAACTAGCTAAGTAAAAATTAAATATTAGAGATGTTCAAGTTGGAGTAGCAAGTTTCAAACCTTTGATCTCTAAGTTAAATTACAATAAGCAAATATTCCTACCATTCCTCCATGGAACCCTTTAAATTCAATTGAAAACTTTTTGTTTTTATTTCTAAACTAGCTAGGTAAAAATTAAATATTAGACCCTCTAAAATTTAGGGGCCCTGTGCGGTAGCCCAACTTGCACTGCCTAAAATCCGGCCATGGTAGTAGAGTGGAATGAGAATGGTTAGTGTTTGAGAATGAATAAGGGAATGAAACCCCTATTTTATTTGGATATGAATTTTTCAATTGATGGGGTATTCGAAACCCATAGTAGTGTTCTAAAAATCGATCAACCAAACATCAACAATCACTTTCATACCCATTCCTATGGGCAAAACCCACCAACCAAACACACCCTATAGTTCTAATGCATGTAACTGTTCCAAAATTCCAACATTTTATCAATGAATTGAATACTATGACAATTGACACGTACAGTTTTTTTTTTTTTTTTTTTTTTGAATGCTACTGACTCTATTACATTGTAGTCTATTTAAACATATTTTTTTTCACTGAGGCTTGATCTCATGACCTCTCACAAAAGAAAGGTCACTACATGCCATTTGAGAACAAAGTGCTTGACACATGAACTGTTTTTATTTGGCACGTGTCAAATAGGCCCATCTACCACTGCGAAGTGCTCAATTCCCATCACGAACTAAATTAAGTGCCAAATAGGTCCATCTACCAGCTAAATTTGTTCGATTGACTTTTTTGCAGGTTGCTAACAGGTTCCCTATTCAATTATTAATATATATATATATATATATATATATATATATATATATATATATATATATATATATATATTTCAGCCACTGGTTGTCCGCGCCAGACATTCGAATAGCCACCGCTGTCAAAGATGAGGTCCAGATTTAGACCTCAAACGGTCTGGAACGAGCGCGACAGCCACGGCCATTTGAGGTCCAGATCTGGACCTCATCTTTGACAGCCGTGGCTGTCTAGCTGTCCTCACCGGATAGACACGGTTGTCAGCTGTCTGGCAGCCACCTACTATCCGGCGCGGGCAGTCGGTGGCTAAATTTTTATTTATTTATTTATTATTATTTGTTATTATTATTATTATTATTATATATTTTTTTATAATTAAATATGCAATTTGTTAGCAACCTGCAAAAAAAAGTCAATCAAATAAATTTAGTTTATAAATGGATCTATTTAACACTTAATTTAGTTCGTAATGAAAATTAAACACTTCGTAATAGTAAATAGACCTATTTGATACTTGCCTTTTTATTTTACTTGTTTAACAAAACATTTGCATGTGCGGTGTGCCCGTGTGATTAGTTAGCTGAGTTTCTGACTTTTTCAATTGGAAATAAGAGGACACAATCGCGTGTATATATGGCTATTTCACTTTGAATATCAGTACTACCAACCTATTGTTTGTTTGTTTTGGTTGATGACAAGAGAAACAACAGTTACAATCCCGAGAGTCTTGTCATGTGATTCTAGAATTCCTAGCCATTCATTATCCCAGATCAAATCATAAGTCCGCCTGCCGTTCTCACTGAGTTTTATGATTTATCTTCAGCCATTGATACATAATGAATGAATATAATCATTTCTCACTTTTTATAGAAAAATACTATATGTACCCCCATTGTTTACTCTCAATTTATACTCTCTCACAAATTTTTAATGTAAACGTATTCTGGGACTCACATAATGAAAATAACCAATCATTGTTTGTTATGTCATGGAGTAAAAGTGAGGGAGTAAAATTTGGGAGTACATGTAATAAAACTCCTTTTTATATGAAGGAATTGTAAAACTGTAAAAGTAAGGACGGATCATAATCGCTCATCATGTGCAAAACCCGTCCCACCCGACCTTGAAATAG